ACATGCTAGGATGTATCCATTTGTCGTGGTTCTAAGATAGAGGGAAGGACTGCTGAATAAGTATTCTTTATGCTGATAAGTTGAGAAGGATTTATACCACCATTACTTTTCTGCTCTAAAATTGACAATGCTCAACATAATGTGTTGAGATAGAATTGAGGTAGAAGACCACAGCCAAACTTTTTTAAGAATCAAGGTGTTTTGTTTCACTATGCTAGGTAAGGCCATTTGTAATTGTATGCCTTCTAGATGTTCAAAACACAGTGTCTTCTCTCCGGATTTCAATTCAGGACAGTTGGTGATCCAGACATCAATACAAGCAAATGATTTTATGTTCACATTATTAACGAGAAACAAGTACTAAAGAGACAGATGATAAGAAAAATATTAAGAAACTTGTGCTTCTTTGAAACATAAAAAAGTCAGTGCTAAATAATTCAGCAAGGATAACCAGTAGTATACGAAAATTACATCAAAAAAACGTAAGATCTAATACGCTTAGGTTGTGCTGGAATGGATATGCATAACATTACACAATACGGATACACAACTATGGAAAATCCTGAAATTCAGGAAAGATATGTGCCCTAAGTATGGCAATAATAAAATTATATGCCTGTGAAAAGTAATGCTATATCTGTGTAACATGAATATGCAAAATTTCAATGGTTTAGAAACAGCATATCGGACAATATAACATGTTTCCAAGTACATACATAAGATGACAGTTATGTGAATAATCTTACTTATTAATAAAATGGACAAATTACATAAATGCATCAACAAGAAAAATCACATGTGAACTTAATCACTATCATTCTGCATCAGATTTCTGACTACTTAGTTTCAATAGATATTTGATAGATCTAGGATGCATGTATTTTCAGATGGCATAGAACTATGTCCAAAAATTATCCATGAAGTATCCTAGTACAATTATTGTATAGGAATGGTATATGGCTACATCTTCCTAATGGAAGAAACAATGAAACATTGAGAATATGCAACTGGAGAGGACAGCAAGAGATTTCTTTTCTGTTTTTTGCTAAACCTAAAAATATAATACAGTGTTAGGTGAGTTATTTTACATTAGTAAAGAAAGTTATACAGAAAGTGGATATCTAACCTGGTTTTCTCCATATTCATCCAGAAAACTTGATCCAGTAAGTATGGCCATTGTCAGGACTCTTTCAAGAGTATGAAATCTGTCCTGAACAAGCAATACAGATATTAAAGCTATAAGAAATCACAATGATAATTATATTCCAAGAAGGAAAGAGAAGAAAAAACAATACGATATATTATGTCAAACAGAGTATTATTTTGTGCTTAGTTAGCAAGTGGATAATAAAGCCTACTATATGAATTTTATTTTAAAAGATTCACAAACGAAATGAGAATCTGGAATGTGATGCCTTCGACGCGAATCCAGATCCAATTGGAAAGTACGATGTTCTTGATACTGTGAAATTGGGCAGGTACTCAAATCTGAACAGGATATAAAAAGAGCGAGTAGATTTTTAAGAGTTTGATAACTTTCCATAGCTGTGTAGTAAGGCCTTGGCAAAGAGATCATAACGCATTGAGGATTGCCAGGAGTATATCCTGCGATGGTGATACTCGATCAGATCACGAGAGCTCATAGGGGCTCACTGAAGCTAGGGCCAGTTGGATCTAATAGATGGAGAGGCGCAAAGGAATGGATATAGAGGAGAGTGTTGACCTTTTTGTTTTGATGATGTTTTTAACAAACAATTTACAACTAATATTGTTTGTTTAGTGTTTGTGTTTTCTTATTTATTCTAGGCAAACAATGTGTTGGAGGTTGGATGGACTAGAGCTTTCACGATCACATCCATTGGAGGATGGAAAGAATAGTGGAATGAAGCCAATACATTCAAGTTAAAGATTTGAGATCAAGCTTCATCCGCAAGTTTACCAAGAGCTTCATCGAAGATCAAGAGCTTGGGTATAGTTTTTATAGTTTAGGTTTTGTACTTGTGTGTAGATACTTTAAAGCTTAATATCATATACACACACATTTTATTGGTTTCTAGGTTTCTATGTATATATATATATACCAAAGTTTTTAACCACTCATATTGCCTAGGGATCCATGTATTATATAAAAAGGTGTTTTATATTAATATGTGTGTGGCTAGAAACTTTGGTGGACATCAACTTAAGTTGATAGGAGTCTTGCTCTATATATATATATATACACACACACACATTTTGGCTTTATGGTTTTCTAGTTTAAATATGAAACAAATGAATATAATTGGAAAATATATTTTTTTCATGTTTATATGTGCTTGGTATGAATTCATGTTCATTGGTTTTGAAAGAATGAATAAAATATATAATTTTGAGAAAATATTGTATTTCTTGTTTATAGACTTAACAACAACAATTTATATTTATGTTAAGTCTATAAAATCATTTTATAAGGTTTTAAAATATTGTTCAAGTCAAAATGTCAAAAACATATCTTGTTTAGTTTTCATGTTTTGGATCTTTTTTGCAAAATGAAGAGATTTCTCATTTGGGAAGTGCAATTCTAAAAATACTTTTTGTAACATGTTTATTATCATGTTTTCAAGTATTCCCCAAAGTTTTATAATTTTTTAGAATTTATTTGCTATTTTTAAAGGCTCTTTAAAAATCAGTTTTACTATTCAAATCAGGCTGATAATGTGTTATTAGTTGATTGATACATGGATTTAATCGACTGAAAAAAACGCCTGGAATAATCAAAACTATCTGTTTTTATGTTAGTCAAGTCGACTGACGAGGTCATCGGTCGACTGACATGTTCATCAGTTGATGAGGTGTTGCTGGCCTGTAACGGTCAGCTCATCAGACGACTGAAAAACAGTATCAGTCGACTAACGACATCATAACGGCTAGTTTTTTAGATTTTTATGTTTCCGTTATTTTATCATTTTGCTTGGTTTTCTTGGGTCTTGGGGGTTTGTCTTATGATCCTATATATACCCCATTGCCCTCTAACATTCTGAAGTAATCAAGAAGTCTTTTAAAACAAGTTTACAAGAGTTTAATTTGTTTTTAAGTGTGTTTAAAAGTTTCAAGTTTGTAAAAAAAATTTCACAAGAACTAGAGGAGATCATCCTTTGGTGTTTGAACATTCACTCTTCTCCCTCTCTCTTGTCATCTTTAGAGAAATGTTTCTAAACTCAATCTAGCTTTACATTTTTTATACTTGTTGTTTATCATTTTATTAAGCTAGAGTTTATATTTAGTTTGATTTTGAATTTATTAAATCTCTTTGTTACACACACCCACATTGAGCTTTTAGTATTCTCATACATAGTATATTTAGGATTGTGTGATTGTAACATAGAGTTGGGCTTAATTGAGTTCTCACCTTGTATAGAGAACATTCATTTGTTGTTGAACATTATTTGTGAGAACACTTTGTAATACACTTGTACACCGAGAGGAGTGTGTGGTGAGAGACGGGATCGTCCCAAGAGGAGTGACGTCGGTAGTAAAACCTAGAGAGAGGTTGTAAATCCGAGCACTTGAGGGAGACACGGGCTAGAGACCAATACTTAGAAGGTGTAGAGTGGGATTGCAAGAGTGTTGATTGTAAAGTTTTCGGTGAGCTTGAAAACTGATATTATGTGGTGTAAACATTTTCAGGTGAGCGTTGAAAACCCGGTGTGATAGTGGATGTCTCTCCGAGAGTGGGGAGCAGAGACGTAGGACGGAAGGTCCGAACACCGTGATCATTTGCTTATGTTTGTGTTGGTTTATTCGCGCACTATCACTCTTGTTTGTTTTTATTTATTTCACTCTTGTTTATATTGCTTATCCTTGTATATATCTTGTAGTATATCATATTTGCTAGGATATTAGTTAATTAATTTTAATTGGTATTAAATCGGATTAGATTAGCATAAGACCCTATTCACCTCTCTCCCCTTTAGGGTTCTTTCCTAGTGACATTAGGGTCTAACAGAGAGGACGAATGAGGAGTAACGAAGATACTATTCACGTAGATGAACAGTACGCAGAGTACTGTTTATCCTTGAACAGTACCCTTACTTTTTTTAGCATCCTTTTGAGGATTAGGGTTTTGATTGATTGGAGGGCAAATTTGAAGAGGAGATGGATTCAAAGACTGAGATTTAAAGGGGACTAAAATGAAAGGGATCTCACCCAGGGCCTCACACTCGTGGCCTCACAATTCACATGCAACTTTAGAAATCAGAAATTTTATTTAATGAAGTTCGTCTTCTCAATAAGGCTTACATCTTCATTTGAAGAAAACAAAAGATAATATATAAGGAAACAAGCTAAAATCAAATCAGATCCTACCATTCAATTCTAAGGAAACAAAATAACCTCTCTTACAAAGTAAAATCTAGAAGATCATGAAGATCCTACCATGAAATCCTCAAGAAATTCCACCTAAAATAAAGATTGCAAAAAGTATTGCTAAAACAGATAGATCTTAAGAAATCCTAGTAGTCCAAAATTAATGATCCACAATCGTCCTACATCACTGGTTATAATCATAGAGGAATAACACTAGTACTCCTTGTGCAATGCGATACGTGCATGAACAATACACATTGGTGCGAAGAAAGTGCTAGCAACAATTTAATAATTGACGATAAGAATAAAAAATGTATTAAAAATAATTGTCAAAATTTTTATCAGCATCTCACAATTCACAAAACCTTGTCTTTCAATGCACACGATGCGTGCATGACACAGTACTACACAGCGAGGGCTCCGAGGTGAAAGCTAGAACAAAAGATAGGATTTAGATAAATAGGCTTCACACGCGAAGGCTTCACACCCCACTAGATAATAACCTTTACGCCTAAGAACTTGACACCCCACTGGAAAATATGCTTCACACCCAAGGGTTTCACACTCAACTAAAGAATATGTTTCACATGTAAGGGCTCCACAGCCAATAAGCAATTCATATGCTTGATAAAAGATTTCACGTCTCAAGAACATTTTATTTTATTCATCATTGTCTCTTTCCTCATGAAGGATACACCTTATTTATACAAAAAAATCTAAACATTTAAGGAAGCAAATTAAAATCATAATCAAGCCAAAACCAACCAAAAATTAAAAGAAACAATTAAATAAAATTTTAACTAGACTAGAAGGAGATATCATAATCAAATCCTAAAGAAATTCTAGCTTAAATAAAAGATTGCAAAGACTAAGATCAAATCCTAATAAAATCTTCATCAAATCTTTGTCATGAACAGATATTGATATGTCCTCCATCAAATTCAACAACTTTGAAACATAACTATATGCTTCACATGTAAGGGCTCCATAGCCAATAAGCAATTCATATGCTTGATAAAAGATTTCACATCTCAAGAACGTTTTATTTTATTCATCATTGTCTCTTTCCTCATGAAGGATACACCTTATTTATACCAAAAAAAATCTAAACATTTAAGAAAGCAAATTAAAATCATAATCAAACCAAAACCAACCAAAAATTAAAAGAAACAATTAAATAAAATCTTAACTAGACTAGAAGAAGATATCATATAATCAAATCCTAAAGAAATCCTAGCTTAAATAAAAGATTGCAAAGACTAAGATCAAATCCTAATAAAATCTTCATCAAATCTTTGTCATGAGCAGATATTGATATGTCCTCCATCAAATTCAACAACTTTGAAACATAACTATGTGGTAGAAAGATAAGAATTCAGTGTATCAAGTGCAGGCATGGACTAGAAAATTAAGAGCAAAAAATACACGGTTATGAGCGTGCCTTAATAGAAGGTGACACTTGCAGATGCATATGGCACCAACCACCAGCAGATTCTTAATGGTATTTGAGAAATTATGAACAAACCGAATCTCATTAACTTCATGCAAAACCAACTACTGAGGATGCATGTCGGAGTAAGCGACAATCAATTAATTGTTTTGTGATGCATTATATGCATCTTTGGCCCAGCTGTTCTTTTCTCAGGAAAAAGTGCATCTTCTTTGGTTCCAAGAAACCAAAAAATATTTTGTTATGCCCCGAACCAACAATAATATTAATCAATTATAACAAAATCAAGGTATGTGACAACCGGACACAAATCTCTTATCAGAGGATTTGCAAAGCCTAACTCCAATATCTAAACTTATATGCATCGATATACACTAGTGTCCGTCCAACTATTTGACTCACGTCCTAAAAGAGCATTGGAGTATATCCTACAAGACATGATAATATGAAAAATTGTGTATAATTGGAGTGAGCTTTCAACATGCTCAACAAGCGGTATATATTCAATAATTTACGTAACTGCTATCATGCACATAATCCAATGGAGGAGTTTGTACTGAATATGCAATATCTTTAGAATTAGTTTTATGCATAAAAATTAGGCAACACCACCCCCTATATTGACAACTAGACTATCTACAACGATCTAGACTGCCTACAACAGCAATCTGTCTGGCCTGGATTGCCTACAACGACGCTTTGCATACACAAAAGAATTATGGATAGGCCTATCATTAACAAAATAAGATATTTCCCTTGCCTCAAATGCATTGAGTTCCCCTTCACACATCTGAGTGATGTCAACATAACAAAAACGCCATAACAAAATCAAACATATGCCAAATCCGAAACCATGCCAGGTACAAACATGGCATCATTTAGAACATATATGGAAATATTAAGGTTTGTGTGCATCACGTATTAACTTAGGGCAGATGGATATCAGCATCAGATAATGAAAGTAATAGCACAAATAACAATTAGGAAAGATATACCTGATCAAAATGTAGATGATAATCTTCCAGTTGAAAACTGCACCATGCAAAGATATTGAGGAGAACAGAATCCACCAACTTCAGATTCCTACTACTACCACAGACTTCAATTGAACAAATCAGACTGTTAATGTAAGCTTCTTCACTTCCACCATCATCTTTATTTGATAAAATTTTCTGCACCTTGAATACAGCATATTTTAACAACGCATGTTCACCTGTCAAAACAAACTACAGAAAAAATCATCACCAATTAGAAGTATTCTTTTGCGCCAATTGCTAATAAATATAGTAAATAGTGTCATATATATCTTATTGTGATGAAGGTAGCAAGCCTAGGATTAGCAACTAATTAATCCAATTCGGCAAATAATGAATAATGAACCCAAAACAGGAGTATTGATGTTAAAGTTTGCACCAAGTATATGCACATAGACTTAGGTGAAAGTTGTACTTAAAGCTTATGCAAAACAAACTTGTGCGGGGCAAATCTTTATATATCATTCCATCATTAAATATAGAGGATTACTTTTGCAAATTGACTAATGCACTCAAGATATCGTAGAATAAGATGAAGAAATTCAAATTGTTATATTCAAAAGAAACAAGGGAAATCACAAAATATATTCTTTTCCTTGGATATTCAATATAAACATTTGTAAACATAAATGTTTATGACAACAAAAGTAAAGTGGCAAAGATAAAGAAATAGGGAAATTGGTCTGTGAAGCTAGAAGCGTAGAGGAGAGGTTCACAGACTTGTGTATAGCTTACTCAGAGAAAAGAAAGGCTGCAGATAAGTCACAATATTCAAGAAATACACGACAGTTTTCTAATTAAAGAAATAGTCTGAAGCCTTGTGCAGGGTAAAAGTTACAGACAGAACAAGTGAACGAATTGGGGCACATGGAAAAGATAATCACGATAATCAACAACTATGGCAAGCCAATCAACTGCCAAGTATGGTGAAACTTCACCGAGGTTTCCCTCATCCCTAGATTCCTTTTCACTTACTGTAGATGAGTTAACAGCTAGTAATCAAGATTGTACTGCTAGCAAATTATTCAGAGTAAGCATTGCTTTATATAGAAACCTCACTACTTCTCAATTTTTGACATTAAATACTTTTCCACTATGATATTATATCATTCAGAATAATATTTGACCACGGACCATTTTACCTAATATTTTTTTCCTCATCTTCCAAGCTCATTTACCGATATTACAGGCTAGTATTTTAAGAATCCAACTTTTTTCAATGTGTGTGTTTTTTCTTTCCCCTGGTGGTGGGTGGGGTGGGGTGGCGATTTCTTCTTCTCCCTTATCACCAATCAATGTAACAAACAAAAATAAATTAACAAAGAAAGATGCCTCTACAGAAAACATAGGTTTTTGAAACACCATAATTTTTCTCGAGGAAGTCTGAAATGCATTTTCTTCTAAAGGATCTCGTATAAGTCCATTTCCAACTATTACTATTGGCTTGTTAAGTAATATATTATGAGACACTGTTGAGATATTGGGAGATGTTATTGGATATAATTTTATCCCATACCTATTTTTATAATATCCTCCTAACTTCTATTTAAGAGAGGTTAGTGCTAGATGAATAAATCTTGGGCTTTTTCTATTTCTCTACATCATATCAGAGCCATCCTCTTGATCCTAGAGAGACCTCTTTCTTCATCGTCTGCATCGAGCCGACGGTGCGGTTTTTGTCGAAAACTTCGTGCTTCCCGTCAGCGGCATCGACATCGAATTGTAGTCCATCGGCTACTGTTTTATCAACTATTGCTCATCAGCAATTGTCCATCAATCGAGGCTCACATCCGTCAGTTGTTTCTCATCCATACACCAATACTGTTGATATCTGCAGATTACTGTTCACCCATAGATTAGTTTTCACCATCCACTCCAATCAGAGCCGACTATGCTCTCATCTGCCCACATTGACATGTGCCTCGTTGACCTCATTCATCTTTGCTCGAGCCAAAGTCAACTCCACCTCTTAGATCATTTGACTGTCAGATCCTTAAAAAGGATCATTTATTGTTAGATCCTTCAATAAAGTATCATTTGTTTGCCAAATCCTTTAAAAAGGATCATTTGTTGTTGGATCTTTCAACGAAGGGTCATTTGTTGTTAGATCCTTAAAAAAGGATCATTTGTTGTTAGATCCTTCAAAGAAGTATCATTTGTTTGTCAGATCCTTATAAAAGAATCAGTTGTTGTTGGATCTTTCAACGAAGGGTCATTTGTTGTTGGATCCTTCAAGGATGGATCATTTGTTGGATTCTGGAAAGGATCATTTATTGTTGGATCCTTCAAGGATCATTTGATCGGTGAGGCCCTAGAGGGGATCAGCTGAGTTGAAGACATCCAAGTGAAAAATAAGATTATCAAGACTACTTTGACTTTTTTTTGAAGCATGGTCACAAATTCGAGTGTGTGCACTTTATTTGTAACAAGCTGGACATGTATGATATACATGCTCCAATTTAAAGGGGAGCGTTAAGGAATATATTATGAGATATTGTTGAGATATTGGGAGATATGATTGGATATAATTTTATCTCAAACCTATTTTTTAATACCCTCCTAATTTCTATTTAAGAGAGGTTAAGGTTAAATAAATAATATCTTGACCTTTTTCTATTTCTCTACTTGGCAAAAATTAAAAGAACATGTGTCTTGGATTAGTCATATATAAGAAAGAAAAAACATAATTCATGATATGAAATATAGCGACTGCCGAGGAAGAAATGTAACAGAGCTCTACCAGTCAGCAAATCCAATTTACCCAATTAGAGCATATGGATTTTTATTACATAGGCCAATATTACATATTAGCAATTTAAAATAACTGTCCAAGAGAACAGCTCGTAGCCAATTGCTTAATCACATATTTTGCAAGTTTCAAAAATATTTTATATTTATAAACATGGACTTTGAACTGTTGCAAGTAATATAAAATGACATTTACACACCACTAGATTCTTCCAATTATTCAAAAATTACTAGATAATTCTTCAATATAATTATATAATACAAATAGTTTGAATGTTACTTTTTTGAAATTAACTCTTTTCCTTGATAAACATTCCGTTAGCTCAAAACTCAATCCCAGCCCTAAAATTTTAGTTCACTTTCCATGTTCCTCTAATTTTCTCATATCTCCAATAGTTTCAAGATTTTCACAACACAGATTTCCGTATCATTGCTTATGCCAAAAAAAGACGGTATCTCTGAGTGCTTTAGGCAAATAGAAGCATACCTTCTGGAAAAGCAACCAACCGTATAAAGCATTGTGCATCTTCTGAGTAACACCCAATACCGGCCAAGTCAATTGAAGGATCTTGAGAATATCTTCTGCTTCCTAAAAAAGATTTCAAACCACAGTTAAACTGGAAAAATAAAGCTTGTGTTTCTTTGTTTCTGCAACAATTATAAGCCATAGGAAAGAAAAAGTAAATTAACATACCTCGACTATCTGACCATCTTCTAGAACATCAAAAACAATGTTAAGTAATTTTTCATATAGCTTTATGTTGAAGTGGTAACTATGCGTCCAATAATAACATTCATTTGGAATTCCAAATTTCGGAGGACTGCTTGAAAGACGTGAAGCAAATCCTTTCACACATGATAGAATCTCAGCATGCTCATCAGGACAAATGCTTTCCCATTCCTGGTACCACATAAGAACAATGAATTATAACCTAGAGAGAAAGTACAAGTGAGCTCCTCAACAGTGTCATAATAAGAATTTCTTGGCAACCAAGCAGAAAGGTTATTTATATTCAAAGGCATAGCAGCAGAAAACCACTATAAAACTTCAAGTATTCAAGAAACAAAAGCAAGAGCATGCCTCCACATTTTTGAGTTGTGCGAGAAGTGAGGATAGCACCGTATGTTCATCAGCAACAAATGTATCAGAGCCAGAAAGTAGTTCTTCAAGAATATTTGCCTGAAGAATGTATGATGCATAAGCAAGCATTAATGACACGGAACAAATGATAAACAATTAGGAGTCACCTGTCTCTTTAGCCAATGTGTGTATGACCTTTGGTTAGGAAAATGGGACTTGCAAATGGAATCTAACAGCTCCAGTGCTATTTGAGGGACATCGGTCCGGCCATTCCTGATATTTGCACAGAAGAGCCTCAAACCATGCTTGATACATGCGTCCATTGTTTCGGAAATCTGAAAGGAAGATAAATGATTTCTCAGAACAGAACAAAAATGTTACATGAGATAGAGGTAAGTACAAAATAGAAAAACAAAACTAAGCAAAGGAAACCATGAGAAATCTACAGAACTAGTCCAGGCAGAAATGCCACAAAAAATTTTCAGCTATCTTGGAATAAAATACAGTTTTTTTTCCTGAGATACCACAAGGAAGTCTCCATGAATCAAAGACAATCCACAAGTAAGAAAAGCAAGCCAGTTACTCCATTACTCAATTCTAACACGATTGAAAAGTGGGGTCTTTAACGAGTTCGGATTAAAAATGGAAAAAAGAAAAAAGATAAAGAATCCTGAAAAGGACGAAAGCAGAATTCAGTTATGAGATAGTTGGAAAGAGCTACAAATTCATGCAGGGTTTTACAAGAATAGAAAGGCTAGGAAATCCTGGTACAGTGACAGAGTGCCCTTGATGTTCAGTTGCCATGTAAGGTTAAAAAAACATAGTCTGATTGCTACAGAATTTTATTGGAAAGGACAAAAAGCTCATGTCCATAACCAACACTTGTAAATTTCAAAGCCAAGTTTAATAAGGCATGACTAATGCTTGACACAAACAGTCGATAAATCATAAAAAAGGGTGGCCCGGTGCATGAGATTCCCACCACTATGGGTTCTGGGGAGAATTAGATGTACTCAGCCTTACCCCGCATGCGGAAAGGCTGTTTCCGAGATAAACCATTTCCAATAAAAATAATTAAAAAGAATGGACCGATTTGAAGTATACTAAATGAGCTACTGTTTGTTAATAATTTCATGGAATTTGAGCAAGAAAACTGGACACAACTAAGCTTTCGGACTGTGTTAGAAATTTGTAACCAGCACCTGTACTGGAATGAGCGGAATCAATAACTGGAAAAAAGTAACTCTCCTTGTTTCAAATTAAAGGGTTTTGCCGAAAATAATATCTTTCAGTAAAAGCAAAATCCTACGGTCCTACCATCCAATTCTCATTCAATGACCACTTTGTCCACAGAGAAATGTTCACATGTTTCCATTAATTCTACAGCAAATACAATAGATATACTAAGCAAATACAATGGATATACTATGTGATTACTGATAAATAGAAGGAATTGGACACTATTATGAATGAAAGAAATCGATTGGAGAAGTTACTGTTAGCTTCATCTGACTAAATACTTGTTAAATACGTCTAAATTGATATCCACATGCCACCTATCTCCCACAAGCAAACTAAAGCTCCAGTCCATACAGTCTCTCCATGAAAATGACAGTCGATGACAACTTCTTAACTGGGCATGTTGATGCAGTCAAAAGAAACTTCCATTGCAGAAATATAATAGTCTCATTACGAAAACAAACAGAACAATTCAAAAGCAACCAAATTTTGTGTTATGAAAAAAAGTTTGTTTAGAAACCAAGTGAAAAAGCAGCAAATTTTGAGTAGTCAAGTGAATAAAAATTGATTCTAAATTGTTTGCAAGAAAACATATGTGTAGAATTGTGCAGTCTTAATTTTGCAATGATATCGTAAGGATCTGAAACTTCACACTATTCAAGCTTTGGAAACTCAGTTACCCAAGAGTATATTTCGTTCTCAGCGTTTACTAACTAACAACAGGGGAACTGGAAGTAAAGGAAAAACCTCAGAATACAAGCATATTATTTATAATATAAAATTTTAAATGTAACAAAACTTGCCTCCATTTGCCCACGGATGACATCTAGCAGGTCAGAATGATCATCTTCAGACTGTTCACGTGAACTTGAGTCATCTTTCTTAGACCTTATGCCCACAGTTAATCTGGACTTCTTTTCTTTCTTTTTCTCTTCAAAGCGAGGTATCAGAACCCTTCTGCAGAGATTTAGAACGCAGCTGAGGGAGTAAGGAAAGTACCCAAGCATGCATTTGAATGTGTGGTGCAAGCTTGTGTTTGTGTATGTGAGTGGGGCTGGGGTAGAGAGACATACCCAGAGAGTATCAAAGAACCAAGAAGCACCTCATAGGCTGTTTCTCGCATATCATCATCAGATAACCCTTAAAAAATCCTAAAATTATTGATCAGTTACATGGGACAATATGGGTTTTTATTTCTTTTCTTTTTTCAGTTGTACAAGAGTAATTGGTTCAAAGAATAGCATGTTAATTTGCAAACATAAACATCTACACCCTCATGCACATATCTGGTATGAAAGCTTATTCACAAGCCCAAAAGAACAACAATAAGGAGGAATTACCTGTTCTCAAGGCTGGTAAGCCTAAAGAGAGTATATTCACATCTTTAACTAGTTGACGAGGTTCAATAATTGCACCAAAATCTCCATTAACAATTTCAATTCCAGATTTTCCTATCTCTCTGTCAGCTAAATCTGATGTTCGTTCTGTTCTGCATGAGTGATTAAATGTTTCTGGGACCCCAATCTGAGGGGGAGCCCTTCGAGGAGGAGATCCAGACAACTCTGGTTTTGAATGAAGAAAGAAAGAATTTCCAGATGATGAATTCATCTGCCACAAAAATAAGTAGGAATATAAGTGTTGGAGAGAATAGTATCGACCAATTTTAGAAGTATTCTTTATATACTCACAACTTAAGGAATGTACAAACCTATTTTCACATTTGTACAACATTAACAACCTTCTAAAGTGTGTGATGAGGATGAAAAGAAAAAATTTCAACGAAATAAGGTTGCAAAGATGGAAGTACCATAACCATGATATAAACTAGTAAAGAAAACAAGAAGGAATTTCATTCAAAAAGAACTTGAGCAAGTTATAACAACAAATATGTAAGTATATATGTTTATGTATGGATGTACACACACGCACCCGCGCACGCACACACACACTTATATATTAAACTAAAAAAGGCAAAGAATCAAGAAGAATATCAAGTTAGAGACCGTTATCATTCAACTATGAAATATGTTAAACATCTAGCAAGCATAACATGAATGAACATATATAAAGAAACATTTACAAATGGAAGAATAGACTTCATACATCTTCATTTTAGAAGTATCATGCCCGGGTCCCAAAATTTCGCAAATGGAGGGCACATGACTCGGTCGGCGATGCAACTACAGAGAGAGAAACCTCTCTTGTAGCTTCATTCACGCCTCTAGACTAGCAAATAAAAAATATTCTATTACCAAATATCCTCAATAATGAAACCAAAAAAAATTTCGACATCAAATAATGAACTCTCTTCAATAAAATATATAGAAATCCTAAAGTACAGATCTCTCACTAGCAACACCAACTCAATTAATACAAAACTCACTGCACCAACTATCAAGTATCTGAATTTTATCTGTAAACTACATCCTCAATTAGTCCATCTACATAACCTGGTCCATTCATGTAATATGCCATCACCTAAAAGCTAGAGGACAATTCCAGGATTGTCAGAGCAATCCAACAAGTGTTCCAAAGAAAATATATTGAACAAGAAAATGTATGCGAACAATATGCATGAACTACCAGTAAAAGTAAAATTAGTTCAAGATACACTAACTAGCATGAGAAATGACGAGATTATGTGATAGTGGGAAATTCATAAGACAAAGAGCTATGTATAAGAATAGATACTAGCTTTAATGTGCGAGACGGGAATTATAACTAAGATATGCAAATTAACTTACACTATAAAAAGATATGAGTAGAACATGTAAAGGAAAAACTACATCTACACCTTCCAAATATGGACACTCCGAAGAAAACTATCACGATAATTAAATATAATATTTTATTCATGTTATTTGAACTAGAGGTGAATAATTCCATGTATATAAGTCAGTTTCCTGTAACACGTCCTGGGAATACGGCTTCAAGTCAGGTATTGGCCCTTAGCCCTGAATATATATAACTCAAAATATTAGGTATGCGCATAAACCACTAATATATACCTTGTATTCACCATCTAATTCCCAAGGTTATCGATAACGAATAGTGTCGCATAACTGTGAGGCATCGCTAAGGCTATTTGGGGCTATTGTGGTAAAATAGCGGTAAAAAGCACAAAGTCAAACAGCGATCTAGTTTAGATATGTATAAATATTCAAAAAAAATAAGAAAATTTATAAAAAAAAATCTAAAATATTTAAAAGTGCATATTTGATGATTTAAAAAGATCATAAACATGAAATAGACATGTAACTGTCATATAATACGAAGATGAATAGAGAAGGAGTCAAAGAGTCGTTGTCTTCGAGAAGATGAGCTGAGCGGTGAGAAAACTACAGCAGGAGGAGCTCACAACGAGAGGAGGTGAGAGGAAGTGTCAAGGGAGGTGCCGGAGGCTGTGGGAGGTAGCGAGAATATGTTAGAAATCACGGAAGGCGGTGGGATGCAGTGGTTGCGGGTTGGGCTTAATTTTAAAAAACTACACCTCAAACCACTTTTAAATATCGGTCAAAAAGCGGATTTTGCCAGCAATCGTCCGCTATTTACCTCTATGGCGCACTATTGGCCGCTTTTGTGAGCGGAAAGTGCATATTCCGTAGTATATCACCGCTATTGAGCGATAGCGTAGCGGAAAGGGACCGCTAACGCTATTAGCGCCGCTATTGTGGAGCTATTTACCGTTATTTATAACAGTGCTAATTCTCATTTATTAAACCTCGTATTGATCAATTTATTAAAGTGACTGTGCATGAAACATTATGCACAAACCACGAAATTACCGTGGAATGGCTTCCGCAAAACTATGAAAAATAACTGTGGTCCAGAACATGTCTAAGAAAGAGAGGTGTGTCATCTAGTTGATGCTATAGTAATAACTGGCAAGGAAAACCTCACACCAGGATATCGATGTCGAGGAAGTAATCATGCTATGATAACACATTTATGAATCATAATTTTTAACGGGGGTCATCTTCATGCACAGCCGGTCCTATAAGATGTCACTAGGTGATAAGTCAAAAGTTTCAGTATGTCATGCACGTTAAACAAAGTACAAAGTCCCCTAAGATACTAGAGTAAAAGAACTCATTTCTCAAAGATGAGTAACATGTATTCTAGTATGTGACATATGAACTGTTTATATATAAAAGAGATGAACGATAAGAGATTAATAACCAAGGAAGAAGACGTCCACACTCTGTTCTGGGTCGTCATAATCATGCTATTTATAAACCAGGTTCTAATCTAATCACGATATCATGATACTCTTTAAACTTCTATATCATAAAAAATAATTGTTTATACTCTCCATATCATAAAAAAGTTTGCTCCTAATGCCTTATCTAAACACTTCTATTATGTAAACCCCGTAAGCAATTAATTATTTAGAACTTTGATCTAAGGTTTGCACTGTCCAACATCTTCTAACGACAGTAGCTATTTTTAGAAAAATATTTTTATTATTTCAATTGAATCTTATGTCCATGATCAATCTTCAATTATTTTCAATATTTTTCAATTTTGCACTTTCATATCAAACCCTCATTATTATCAGCTCTATATACTAGAAGCCTAAAGAGTTTCCAATAAAATCTCAGTCTATAATCTCAACTTTTAAATCTAAAAAAAAGGATTGACATTGCAAATCTTCAACTGATAATATTAGATATAACAGATCTGAGCCCTTCTAAATTCACAAATCTTCAACTTACACATTATGATTATCCTTAATTCATCATCGAGCTAATCAAACATCATATTCATAAAATGAAATTTGATTATTCTTTTCTTTGACTCTTTGACTTCCTAAGAAGTCTTGGATCAACGTTTAACGACTAAGCAATGAGGCACTCTTACCACAAACTCCTAACTAATTGTTGCTCTATCAATAAGATTCTCAATTAGAGTCTAATTCTACAATTTGAAAATACAAAACATCTTTGAATAAATAATCAATGTTTATCATCACTTCAAGTTCTCAATCTGATTCCTGAGATATCTTATAATAAATAATCTAGCCACGGAAATTTAGACTCCAAAATAATAGATAGTATAAATCCAACTATTTGCCGCACTGAGGATAATTTAACTAAAGATGAATGCATATACCCTACTCATAAATGTCCAGAGCAAAGTTCTAGTCATACAAAACATCTTTGAATAATATAATTAATTATTACACATTAAGAAACCAACAAGCTAACAACAAGGAGTAGACATGGAAATTGAACTTATTAAGTACTAGATCCCTCGTATAAAAGAAACACACGTGCAGGAAAAGCATTTGGTGTTCTGTAGGGTATGTCATATAGATTGACTCTCCATTAAGTCCTTAAGCCATAATTAGACAAATGGTCAACATAAGAGAACCACAAAGATAATTCAAATAACTTGATAGATGGATAAGAGGGGGGGTAGAAAACTTGCAGAATAATAATAAGAACAGATTCTAAAGAGAACTAGAAAATGATAAAGAACTAGGAAATGAAGGCATAGATGAGGATATTCCGTAGAATTAGAGGTGAATGCGACAAAGCTCAGGAAAATTAAAGCAAAAAACATTTTGGATGCTGCACAGTCGACCGCGAGTGGAGTTGCGGTCGATCGCGGACGTGCACGAACATAGGAAAGTTTTTGGACTTTTTGCGATCGGCTGCTAGTGGTTTGGCGATCAACCACGAGACCCTATAGTGGTTTTTTGTTCTCTGTCGTTTGCCACGGTCGACTGCGACTGACGCGACGGTCGACCGCGATGCGGTTTTGGGCTTGGGCTTGGTTTACTGCACTGATTGGGTTTGTTGTTTAATATAAATAGCAATCACGTTTTTTAGGGTTTTCTATCGATTGATTGGGTAGCTTGAATGTGATTTTGAGTACAGAAAAGAGAAATCTTTCTGAGTAATATGTTGGAGGGTTTAGTTTGAGAGATTTGAGAGATTTATTTGAGAGGTTAGTTGAGTGATCTTGTAATCTCTACTTTGTACTCTCTTTCTCTATAGTGAAAACTCATGGTTAGTTGAGTGATCTTGTAATCTCTACTTTGTACTCTCTTTCTCTATAGTGAAAACTCATCCCTTCTTGCCCCGTAATCTCTACTTTGTACTCTCTTTCTCTATAGTGAAAACTCATCCCTTCTTGCCCCGTGGACGTAGGCAATCTGTCGAACCACGTTAAACCTTTTGTGTTAGAATTTGTGTGATTATTATTTGATTTGAGTTACCTTTTCTCTCAGCGTTTGTGTTTGTTCCGCCGCGCACAACAAGTGGTATCAGAGCATAACAACTAACAAGTAGTATCAGAGCTCGCGCTACGCTTGGGCTATTTGGAGTAGCTCCCTTTGGAAGTTCGACTAGGGCTTCGTTTGGAGTTAAAGGCAGAATCTTTTTAGTAAAAACTCTATCTTTTTTAGTTTTTGGATCTATTCTTCTTTTGTTCCGCTTTGGTTGTTGATGCTTCGAGGAATTATGGTCGGGAAAGAAGTTGTGGAGGGTACTTCAGGTCTGAAAACCGTCCAAAGTTTGAATAACCACCCTATGAAGATAGACATGGAGAAGTTTAATGGCACTAACAATTTTAAACTTTGACAATGTGAAGTATTGAATGCGCTGAACGCGCAAAATTTGAAAGATATTTTGAAATTGGATGCCAAGCTAGATGATATTGATGAGAATGTTTAAAAGAAGATGAATCGAACGGCGTATGGTGTGATTAGATCTTGTTTGACTCAAGATTTGAAGTATGATGTGATCAATGAGACTTCAGCTAAGAAGATTTAGGAGATCCTTGAGAGCAAGTATTTGACCAAAGTATGATGTGATCAATGAGACTTCAGCTAAGAAGATTTAGGAGATCCTTGAGAGCAAGTATTTGACCAAGAGTGTGGAGAATCGCTTGCATTTGAAAGAGCAAGTATTTGACCAAGAGTGTGGAGAATCGCTTGCATTTGAAGAGGAGGCTTTATCGCTTCCAATTAAAGAAAGAAACCTCTATTGATGATCACATGAACCACTACACGAAGTTTCTTACGGATTTGACGAATATAGATGTTATGATTAAAGATGAGGACAATGCGTTGTTGTTGTTGAGTTCCTTGCCTGACAAGGAATATGAGACATTCGTCCTTACTCTTATTAATGAGAAGACATCTTTTTCATATAGTGAGGTCACCGCTGCACTTGTGAATTATCAGTTTCGAAAGAAGGATAAGGAGACTTCAATTGAAACAGTAGCAAAGGCGTTAGTTGCAAGAGGAAAGAATCCAAACCGAAAAAATTAAAATCACAATCTAGAGTAGCGCATCCTACAGTTGAAAAAGATCAGTGTATTTGGTGCAAGGAGACTGATCATTAGAAGAAAGATTGTCCAAAGCTCGACGAATGAATAAAGAATAAGCAGAAGGAAAAAGGAAAGAACCATCATCAGAAGCAAACATCGTTATATCGGATGGTAATATTTCTGATACTTCTATTTATTCGCTTTCTATCAGTCCTACAGGTAGCTATTCGGAGGAATCCGAATGGATGTTGAATAGTAGTACGACCTATCATGTGTGCTCTAGCAGGAAATGGTTCTCTAATTTTGAAAAACTGGATAGTGGTGTAGTGTACATGGGAGATAACCGTGCATGTCAGATCCTTGAAATAGAAAAAATTCGCATCAAGATGTTTGACGAGACTGTAGGGAGTTATATGATGTAAAATATGTTTCTTTCTTGAGGAAGAACTTGATCTCAATTGGAGCTTTGGTTGGAGAGGGCCTGAAGATTCGTGTTGAGAACATGGTTCTTGAGATCGTGGAAGACTTTGATTGTAATGAAGGGCGTCATGAGGAATAACCTGTACTATTTGATTGGAAGTTCGATGACACGTGGAGAGCTGATGACTTCTGTTGATTCGACTAGACTGTGATATTTGGGGCTTTGCCATTCTAGTATTGATTTGGAGATGGGTGCACAGACTTGTAATTTGAAGTCTTGTGGATACTTTGATGTGAGCAAGAAGACCGAGATGAAGTTTGGCACCTCTTTCACCGAACTAAAAGTCTTTTAGATGGAGTTCACACGGATGTTTGGGGGCCTTCCAGGAGGCATCATTGGGAGGTAATAGATGTTTAGTTTTCTTTGTTGGTGACTGTTCTAGACATGCTTGGGTTGTAACCAAATCCCGATTGGATAAAGTCCCAATAGTCTCTAACAGATTGAAGAAGCGTGAGATTGACAGAAAGATGAAGGTACTTCATTCTTATTTTGGTGGGAGGTACCAGAGGGACCTGTTTCTGCATTTGAGCCGAGCTCACAATATTTTGAGACACTTTGGTGGAAAGGAAATTTTGGGATAACGAGATGAGATGGTAGATTTGGTGAGATGTTCCTTGCTGGAGGAGGACCAGCGTTTGATGTCGAGCATTGATTCTGATATTGAGGTTTCGACATATTTGGGTCATCTTGGTCATAGGTTGTCGACTGTTACGATAGGAAGTAAAACTCCATTGGATGTTTGATCTGGTAGTGTCACTTTGGTTGAAACTTCGATGAGGGAGCTAATTGACTCTCAGCAGGTAGAGAGTTTTGAACAGACCTTAGATATATCACAGCGGGTGCAGAGTGATGCTACTCCACATTGGATGGAGATTACTCCACATACTCCAAGATCATATTGCATCTTTTGTTGATTCGAATACAGCTGGTGGATATGATTTGGATACGTCCATTGGTTCACCTCAGGTGGAGATGTTTGATTTGTTTCACTTTGGGGCTATTTGGAGAGCATTCAGCCGTATTTTTATTGGTGAAGAGTTGAGAACTTTTCTATTTGATTGAGGGCCTTTGGAGGTCTTTTGGGGAACTACATGAAAGCTTGATTCCTTTGACAAGAGAATACGTAAGCAGTCATTTATGATGCAGCCAATTTGATGGGTTGATACTGACGTTTTGGAGTTTGTTCGCATTCTCATTTGGGTTCCCGACTTGTGGATTGAGTCTGTTGTCGTGAATTGTTTTACTTCGTACTAGAAGCAACAAGTGGGACATTTAGTTTGGTTGATGTCGGCTTAGTTTTGAAAAAACTTCACCGAGGTGGGGAATTGTAGAATTGAAGGTGAAGGCGACGAAGCTCAGGAAAATTGAAGCAGGAAACATTTTGGATGCTGCACGGTCGACCGCGAGTGGAGCTGCGGTCGACCACGGACGTGCACGAACATAGGAAAGTTTTTGGACTTTTTTACGGTCGACTGCTAGTGGTTCGACGGTCGACCGCGAGACCCTGTAGTGATTTTTTGTTCTCTGTCGTTTGCCACGGTCGACCGCGACTGGCGCGGCGGTCGACCGCGATGCGGTTTTGGGCCTGGGCTTGGTTTCCTGCACTGATTGGGTTTGCTGTTTGATATAAATAGCAACCACGTTTTTTAGGGTTTTCTATCGATTGATTGGGTGGTTTGAAGGTGATTTTGAGCATAGAAAAAAGAGATCTTTCTAAGCAATTTGTTTGAGGGTTTAGTTTGAGAGATTTGTTTGAGAGGTTAGTTGAGTGATCTTGTATTCTTTACTTTGTACTCTCTTTTTCTATAGTGGAAACACATCCATTCTTGCCCCGTGGGCGTAGGCAATCTGTCAAACAACGTTAAACCATTATTGTTTGAGTTTGTGTCATTATTGTTTGATTTGAGTTGTCTTCTCTCTCGACGTTTGTGTCTGTTCCGCCGCGCACAAATTCAAGAAATTTCAAACAAAGGAAGAAATGAACACTTGTCTGGCTTTCATCGAAATGATTAAAATCTTCTTGATACTGATTTCCGTCCTACTCCACCACTTCTTGTCATTGTCAACAGAAGACTTCTTTCTCTCTCTAGCCCCGCCCCCCCCCCCCCCCCCCATCAATGAAGAGATGGCGAGGTCTGAGGAGATATTTTGCAGGGGGAGAGAGAGTTGAGATCTCTTGATTTTAGGATGTGGGTTAGTTAGGATCTCCTCGAATTTTAGGGTAGTGGTTTAGAGGGTTTTCTTTCAAATAATAAAGGAGCAATTTGATGAAAAGAAACAAGGTGGGTCTAAATGTTAAAAACTTCAGATCAGTATTCAAAAAGATATGAACAAATTGATTCAAAGATTCTGATAAGTACAAGAAAGGTAGTTTCGGTAGTGGTTGTCACATATTTTAATGAGCTTAGAAAATTAACATAAGGAAAATATTGTCAACCCCCTTATACATAGTCATGCCAGTAGAAGAAAATTGCTTAAAATTCATAGCCCCAACATGATGAAACTTCTTCGTTTACAATATGCCATCAACAATTCCATTAACGAACAGAATGCACCAAATCAGTAGCTTACCCCAGTAATCATCCTAATCACAACTTTAAACTTACCATAATTGGAAAATCCCACTCTTCATAATACTTCTTCGATGCCTCCAAGGGATCAAACCCTCCACCTAAAAATCCAAACAATACCAAAACTAATCAAAATCCCAAAAACTCAACATCACATAACAAATCTTCAATAATAATAAAAGATCACTACCAGATTGAACACACTCAAGAACGTAATCGACGCTGATGGTGTCCAAATCAACAGCAGAGAAATCGAAGGAATCGCCCGAAGAACCTCGTTGTAGGACTTTCGAGATTACCAACTCGAGCAGCTTGCGTCGATCGCG